TATTTCAAAAAGTAAGAATTATGCTGCATTGGAAACAATACCATAAGAAAGTATGGATAGATGAAAAACTGAGAAAATATTTGCAGTTTATATCACAAAGAGTTAATAAATTTTATATATAGGCTATTTTCAGCCTAATAAAAATAACTATAATGAATTAAAACTCACTAATTGCTTAAGTTCATATAGATTCTTGATACTGAACACAAATACTTATTTGTCACCTAAGAATGCTAGTGAACATACTCATTTTTAAAACTGGTAAGTGAAGGGAAAGAATCAAGTGTCTATTCTGGTTTTTTTTTTTTTTAAACAAATTGTATATCTAGTAAACAATTGGTTCATGAGAGGAAGTTCCTGTTTATAAGAACACTTCAGCTGATAAATGAAGGAAAGAAAGATTAAAACATCACTATTTGGCAGCCAATAATGAATGAATGGATCTAAGGCAATACCCATCAATGGCTCTTAACAACACAAAACCAGACATTACGTAGTGATGATGTAACTACACAACATCATCTATGAAATATTCTTACCAGAAGATAAAAATAAATGTGATCAAATATGTATACCTAACTAAAAGGTGAAAGAAGAACATGGAGATGTCATGAGATATAAAAGCAAAATCCAGGCTGTGGGTAATTATACAAGACAAATAATCAAATTTGCTCAACAGGTGCATTGGCAAAGAAAAACAAGAAATGTCAGACAGCCTTCAGATTAAAAGAAACTAGAGAGGCAGGGGGTGGGAGGCAGTCAAAATGAATGAGGATGATAAAAAGGTATAAAGTTCCAGTTATAAGATAGATAAATTCTGCAGATGTTATGTAGAGCATAGTGATTAAAGTGAAAAGCACTATACTTCATGTTTAAAAGTTGCTAAAGGAAGTACATCTTAAAGGTCCATCATAAAAAAAAAATTGTAACTGGGTGAGGTGATGGACATTAACTGCACTTACTGTGATGATTACCTCACACACACACACTCACATATAATTTCATCATGTTTTACACCTAAAGTGAACAGGATGTTACATGTCAGTTATATCTCAATGAAACTGGGGAGAAAAGGTTGAAGAACAAATTATGCCTTTAGGCAGGGTAACAGCATGCAGTTAGACCAAGATTTTCAAGATTATATTATCAGGATTATTCCTTTCTGTTACCAGTACCACCTCTGTTATTACAGTCTACACTACTTTATTCCTACACCTCCTCCTCCTTCTCCTACCCTTCCTCCTTCTTCTCCTGCTAACGCTTCTAAAAACGTGAACACCCACCCCTCCCCACAATTAAAGCACATTGTATGTTTTATAGCCAGTTCTAAGAACTGCATATTTTAAACGCATTAAAGTCTTACTAGTCTGAAGCACTCTGTGATACAGTAGCATCAAATGAAGGGAACCTGGATTACAATCACCCAAGGCTTGACTCAAAGAATTGTGTTTCTTGGAATAAATCAAAAAGGAAGCTCTGTCAAATGCAAATGAAAAAAGAAGCAAATGCCAAACAATGTGTAACATCTCTGCCCTCGTCCACAGCCTCGGAGCACCGGTCCATACAAAGGAACAAGGCACAGTTACAAGAGTCCCTTCTCAGCTTTTCGGCAAAGCGTTTTCCCTCAAAGGCTCCAGGAACGTGGGCGGGCGGGCAGGCTTTAGACACATTGTTTTGTGAACAGACCCCAAACAGCAGAGAGGAAACAGAAAGAGTCGCAACCACCTCTGGTCCCTCCGCATTTTCACGTTTAGATTCTTACACGCCACTTCAGTTGGTATTTGTTCACCTACTGCACATACTTGCACTCGTGTGCTTTGCCGACCCAACCGGCCTGTTGCAGATCTCCCAGGGATGTGAAAGGGAAGTGGTCCAAGTGAGAGGAGAAGTGAGCGAAGATCAAAAGAATTAAAGGGAAAAAGATGTTGGGGAAATTTGACAGGCTTGAGGCCCCATCTAAGCATCTGCCCCTTGGGTTTATACCAGGCTCGCATCTTTGATCAGGTGGCACTAGTGGTAAAAAAGCCTCCTCGCCAACGCAGGAGATGTAAGAGACAGCTGATTCAATCCTTGGGTGGGGAGATCCCCTGGAGGAGGCAATGGCAAACCCACTCTAGTATTTTTGCCTGGGAAATCCCATGGACGGAGGAGCCTGGTGGGCTATAGTCGATGGAGTTGAAAAGAGACACAACGGAGGGACTGAGCACACACCTCTTTGATCACTGCATGCTGAGAGATTTTTCCCTTTCTCTCTTTTTTCTTTTCTATTTTGCTCCCTTTATACCCAAATGCACAGCACCAGAACATTTCTTTAACACTGACGCCATTTTTCTCCCCTCTGGTCCAGCTGATGAACAGCAAAGTTATAACCAGACGACTGGGAGCTGACAAGCACAAAGCATGTACAGATGACTTCTGTCTCCCCAGTGATTTGCAGCTAGAAATTTGCAGCTGTTTTTAGCAGCTAGAAGCCTGGCCCTTTAAGAAATACCTTTTCCCTCAAAGGCAACACCACTCTCCTTTCTGAATGACACAGTATCTCCTTTCCATTGGCTGTCTTTCTGTCGAGCCATTCCCACCTCGTATTTCCTATCCATGTTGTCCATTCTCCATGGAATAAACGTTAGGTTCGCAGATCTGTAGCAGCATAGTTTACAGTTTTAAGAAGAAGATAAAAAATCTTTGTCTAAAGTGAAGTTCAACATGTACTTGTGCTAAAGTGTGGCAAATGTTCTGTTGGGCTCCATATTAAAGAGAAGAAAGAAAGAAAGTGAAGTCGTTCAGTCGTGTCCGATTCTTTGTGACCCCATGGGCTGTAGCCTACCAGGCTCCCCCGTCCATGGAATTTTCCAGGCAAGTGTACTGGAGTGGGTTGCCATTTCCTTCTCCAGGGGATCTTCCCAACCCAGGGATCAAACCCGGGTCTCCCGCATTGCAGGCAAATGCTTTAGCATCTGAGCCATCCATATTAGGCAAATACAAAAAGAAAGGGGGGTGGACTCACTTTTTAATAAGACCTGAGAAATAGCGTTCACTCATGATGATTATACTTACTATTCATAACGAAAACTACCACTTTCCAAACTCTTGCTCTTTGGCAGGAACCCTTATGCTAAGTGCCTTACAGCGACTACCTCACCTAATCATCAAAACCATGGTACCTATGAAGGAGGTCCTGTAATTATCTGTATTTGCTACAATGGGAAACAGAGACTTAGGGACTTAGAATAAGATGGTAAAGATGAAATATGTAATGGATGACAGAGCCCACATTCAAATGCAGGCTACCTGACTCCAAAATATATACTATGCAGGTAAACTCTACACAGGTCTTCTCATTTCTCTTCATTCATTGCCGCCCCAACCCATCCCCGATGAAGCACTTTTCCTGGACATCAGCAGTGGAAACTGGGCGCTGTTAAGGCAGCGGTAGGGGAGGTCCTGCTGGGCTGCCAGCACCGTGGTCTTATCTCTTGATGAGAAGTGGAGAGGGGTAATAAATCCATGTGTGGTGTTCGTCCTGGGCAGCTCCTTGCCTTCTCTAAGCATGGCCTCTGTGAGTTGGTTTTGTTGTGTTTTTTCCTTGTACCACCAGGTCACTTTGCCCCTAAGTTAAAATCATTCCATTTCGTGTGCATTTTCCATTTGTTGACTTTCATTTTCATTTTTTCCACTAGTATAGAGATCACTTACTTTGAAGTGAAGTGAAGTGCAGTGCAGTCACCCAGTCGTGTCGACTCTTTGCAACCCCATGGACTGTAGCCTAACAGACTCCTCCGTCCATGGGGTTTTCCAGGTAAGAATATTGGAGTGGGTTGCCACTTCCTTCCCCAGGGACTATAGAGATCATTTATTTTAGGACAAACTAATTTAGGGGAGCCATTATTATCATCATTTTCCAGACGGGCTCAGAGAAGGTACATGCCAATCCCCAGGTGAAATTCAGTTCCAGTCAGAAAGGAATTAGAACTTCAGCCTAGGAGTCCTGCCTCCAAAGGTGGCCCTATAAAGCAAGTATGAGTGAATGCTACACATTCAGCAGCCTCCTTGGTACTTTTCCCTGCCTTATATGAAATATATCCAAAGCCACTTTGATAAATTCCCCCCACAAATCTGCCCTGATTCCTTAGTCTCCCATCTCAGGGAATGGCACCACCATTCAGGAGTACTTGCCAGACACACGCACATTTTCTCTCTCCTTCACTCACACTGCCGTTGTCCTAGATCCATTCTGTTCCCAAGTCCTACCTGTTTAATGCCCAAAGCATCAAATCTGTCATCTTCTTTCTGTATCTCCCCAAACAACCACTCTGTCTCCTCTGCGTTACTGGGGTTGTCCCCTAAGTTCTCTCCACCTTTTCTTCTCATCCCCTCTCACTTCATTCCCATACTGGTGCTGCTGAAGCCAGTACCATCTTTTCGAACACAAGTTCAATCAGGCTATAATGTCATGCCATCCTTGGGATGAAAATACTTCGATGTCTTCCCAAGGCGCTTAGATAAATATCAAAGCCTTGAACATGGTTGACGAGGTTCAGTATGATCTGGTCCTTACTGTATCTCCCACTTCATCCCTTAATTCTGCACCGCAGTCCCACTGGCATTTCCCCATGTCCTCAAATACAGCACAGCCCTTCACAACATTAGTTTCCTGTCTCTGGATCCATCATAAACCTCCCACCTCCCAAATAGTGTTAATATCTATGCAGTCTTCAGACCTCGGCTCAGGTGCCACTTTCTCAGAGTCCATTTCCCTGGCTTCTATCATGTACTCTCACAAAACCACTGTAGCCTTTATCGCTTATCACTGCTTCAATTTAACACTAATTCCTGGCATTATTTGATCAATTTCTGTCTTCATTTCCAGGAAATACCTCTTTCCACTCAACCTTCCTGCACTTAGCACTGTGCCTGGCACGCGGCTGGCTCAGAAGACATACTTGCTGAAAGCTGAATGCTTTCAGTACATGCTTCCTTCCCTCGCAGTCATATTTACTTACCATTTGTCTGGATCTTTAGGCTGTAGATTTTTGTCTGAATGCCCTCTGGATACAGAGTGAAGCTGCACTCATACTTCCCGGTCATCGAGGAAGAAACATTCCTCAAGTACAGAGTCCACTCAAACACATTCCCAGGCGCTTCTCGGAAAGCCACCAGTGACCTGCAGGGACTCTTGCTGGCACAGTAGAAGCCATGTTCGGGATGATAAACAGCAAGCAGGTCCCCCTTGTCTGTGACCTTGGACCACTGCATCTGCACCAAGAAGCCTTTCTTCTGCGCTTGGCAGCTCAGGTTGACATCAGAGCCAGGTAAAGCGTAGATGTGTTCTTCTGCGCTGAAGGTTTCTTCTACTACTCCTGAAAAGCAAGGGTGTGACCATCAGTTTGCGTGATTCCCAGAGAGGGATTCCTTGGTGAAAGGCCTTGGTTACTCTGGGGAACTGAAGGAGCAGCTGGAACTTTCTTCCCTGGCTGCCTTAGCATTTGGAGGGAACTTGCGCCCACTAGTAAATTTATTATGACAGCTATTCCTACAATGAATATAATTGGCTTTTTTGTTTATGAGTTAACAGCACACAACACATAATAACACCAAGTATTATTTTCTGAAGCTGAAAAGTAACCAATGAGAATATAACAATTTAAAAAAATACATGTTTACAGGTGGTTTTGACATATAGGTTATCTTGTTTAATCCTCCACACACATCAAAGCGTAATGCTGTTAACACTAGTCATCAAAGGGGAAACCAAGGCACAGAGAGATTACGTGGTTTGCTTAAAGTCATCCTTCAGTGAGAGAACATGAATTCAGTTGTCTAGAGTCTGTGCTCTTTCTATAACCTTCAGGACCTCCAAACTGCCTTCCAAATTGGTTGAGAAGAGTAAGAAATTTGACATTCAATATAAGAGAGTCAAAAGGGCCATCATTTCCCTATAGTTAGGATTCCTGAGGTAAAAAGGGGAAAGAGTGGTAGAGGTTTCTACTAAAAATGAACCATTGAGCATCATCATCTATAATCAACACTGAGATACTACACATGAGAGAAGATTCTGTCTCATCAGTTCTTTGACCAAATGGTACAAGACTCTTCAGATATGTTAAGCCTTTGACATGCCTTCCACAGTGTAGGTCTCAGCTTTAGAACTAACATGGAATACTGTTTCAGGAATGATATATTATTGTGACAAGTACCACTGAAGCTCACAAAGGAAAAAGATAAAAAGATGACAAGCAACTGAGAACAAAACAGGCTCTCAAAGGTACTTGACAAAGGGGAATTACTGAACTTTTATGGATGCAGAAGTTTGGGTAGGCAGGGGTTAGTGCAGTTTAATGTAGCTGCCTGGGAGCTCAGCTTTGCCTGATAATACACCTCTGATCCCATCTAATGCATTATAGTCCAATGTCTCCTTTGATTTAGAAATCCTCTTTAAAATCTTCGTAGCGATATCTGAAAAGCACAGTTAATTCTTAAGACACTCAGGCTCACGGTAATGCCCTCGTTATGGAATGCAGAATGAATCTTCCTTCCTGCTATTTTAAATAGGCCCTTTACACACTGGTCCCCACTGTCACAAGGCGTCTGCTTTGTCTTCCAGGTCCACACCTATACATGCCTCATTAAAATTCAGCATATGTTCAACTTCCAAAGATCTGAGTATTTGGAGGAGCAATGCTTGTTAAATCCAAAAGAGAGATTATTTGAGAGAGAGAAGAAGTTGAGCAAGGAGCTCTGAGCCTTGATGGCTTTATGAATCTTTTTTTTAGTGTTCCAGAGTTGCTCTGACAACCATTTGGAGAGCATTTCATTTTCAAGAAGCATAGTTTTTCAGTTACTCTGGAGACCCTCTTAGGAAGGAAATGGGTGTAAATGTCTCAGAGCAGTGGCACAAACCACCCATTCCTTTCTTGTTTGTAGTGCTCATTCGCAATCACTTCTAGATCCTTGCATCTCGCTGAGAGCTGCCACTTAAATACATAACTGAAAACTTTAGTGACAATCGGCCTTTGGTGATCAATTCCAGCAGTAGTCACAAGGCATTTTCAATGAACAGAGGCCCCGTTCCCTCCCTGAAGCAGCCAGTGTGACAAGAAGGGACAACCCGAAGCCTTACCCCTGACCAGGTGCATCTGGATGATGGAATAGACAGCACAGTATGTCCATTTTCTCCCCATTGTCTCCTGAAGGCCTCACACCAGCATTTTCATGATGATCACAGAAGTCAACAGATGCCTTTAACTAAGGAAACTCCGGCCTCCCTCTTTGTGCTGAAAAACCCCACGCCCACCACACGCCTGTGTTTGTTTATCACTTGGCAAGACCCCAGGAAATGAAACGTCGACAGGAAAGTAATGCGGTTCAGAGCTAAGTATAACCTTCAACAGAACAATGTTGAAACTGTTCTCTGCAGTCTTCTGCATCACCTTCGTTAAAAGCATTTCCAGTATCCAAAGATTCTCCCCTTCAGGATCTGTGTCAGTCAAACTGCTTCTGAAATCCAAACAAAGGAAATCACGCAGAGCAGTTCATAATGTGCTTTTCATACATTTCTTTGCAAGAGCACAAAGTCATTTAACAAATGTGAGCTCACCATCTTTCATAATAGTCTTTCTGTTCAATTTTAAAATGTTTTCTTCCCAGAATTACTCCAGGGTGAAAGGACAAAGAATTAACACATTTAGTTTTAATAAAATCTGAAAAGTGACAGAGGTCAGCTCCTGCTAGGAAATGGGATTTAACACCTCCTTTCCTTCAGGGAAGCCCACATTCCCTGCAGGTGCAGAGGTGAAGCCTCCTTTTCCACTCCATCCAGGACAGGCTGGTGGTCAGGGAGGAAAGTCTCCCACCATGAGGGCAGGAGGGCTGCTGTGACGATGACAGAGGAGCATGTCTGTGCTTCAGCAAACACCATACAGAAACGGAGAAAACAATCAGAATCCGAAGGCCGAGTATCTCCCACCTCAGCTGGTTCCCAGGCCTGTTAACATCCACCCACTAACTTCCACTTACAGGGGACGGAGACTAGATTTCAGGGAAGTGACTCCTTGGTAAAGATGTCCGGTTATCACAGAAGGACATGATGACTGTTCCCTGCCAGATGCACCTGTACTGGGTCTCTAGTTTGGGGTAAAATATGGATGTCTTTACCTCCCAACATTAAGAAAGGTTAGGCTGGAACTACAGAATAAGTTTAATGAACCTAGATTAAAAATAAATATATACCATCTTATGAACAATTGGTGAAATATTCTGTGACCCTAATCTGATTACTGAAATAGAGGAAACACCCAGCAAGCCTAAAGGCAAATGAGGAGGCTGAGTTGTGTTCCTAAGATGGTTTCTCTTTTGAGGTCAGGCAGAGATAATTTTGACCAGGTCGTCATCAAGTATCATATTATTATGCATGTACTGATCTGTCCCACACAAGGATTTAGGGGGATATGGATGATGCTAAGATATAAAGCATCACTCCTGCCATGCAGGAGATTTTAGAAGTACCTGGGAGAAGAGATTTTCACATGATGAAATAGGGCTACTGTCTTCCTGGATGTCCAGGCTACCCTCTACGGCACCACTACAAACATTTGCTACGACAACTGTCATACTTACTCGTTACTACTCAGCTAATGATGTTTCCCGCAAAGGCCAGACAATAGAGTTACTGATTTCCTAGTCCAGGACTCCCAGACTTTTATTCTTACTCCCCACTCTCAACTCCTCAGTAAGTCTCAGGTACCTGGAGGTGCTGGGTCAGGTGGGGCTGATGGGTATTTTCAGGGAGGGATAGGGAGTTCAGAGTCTTTGAATGAAAGGCGGGAAGAAATGCCACTGATCTTGGTGCCTTCATCTCTGCCCCCTTTCTCCTAGAAATTCCAGTAAGTCACAGTGATGGAGTATAGCAGCAAAAACAGCCAGAAGATACAGTACGAAGACCCTGATCTGTAGGTTAGTGTCCCTATTAAACTGAGACACATTACAAGCCTGGGCAGGGATTTTAGCTACCTACTCTACTTTTCATATTAAGAAAAATCTACCTTACTGGATCCAATAAGAATCTAAATTTATTTAATTCTTTAAGAAAAATATCCTCCCCTTAAAGTTTCTAGAGGTCTCTTATCTCTTAATGTTGTAAAGTGAAGCAACTCTTCAAAAAAAAAAAAAAAAAAAACTCCCTCAGATTCAGGAAAAGGGGAATTCTCACTTATTTTTCAGACCTACAGACTCACTGTTAATGGAATCTTTGCCTCTCGTGGAGGCTGGGATGCCCAGGGTCCCCATGTAGTGGCTGCCGGGCAAAGCTCCCTCCTGGGTGTTGTTTTATACTTCTGCAGCCCAGAGTCAACAGGTTGGACAGGTTTTCCCTTGAGACTCAACCAGGCTCTAAGAGAAGAAAAATTTGGGGTGCACACAGAACGTTAACTGTGCACGCCTGGCATCCTGCAGCTGCCCGCCCCGCGCCGGCCCCTCCATGGCTGTTTGCATGCAGCAGGTGGCAGTAACGCCCCGCAGACCAACGCTGCTGGCCAGTGATGGGAATTGCCCCCACCCTGCCTTTCAATCCCGGGAATAGTTTCTAAAGGCCCTTTCATCATAAGGATAGGCATTCTCTCCACTTAAAAATAACTCTTCTGTGAAGGCATGTCAATCTCTTCTACTATGGTCCCTGCTCACAGATCCCCACTGCACAGCGTCTCTTCTGCCTTAGATTTGGGTCTGCTGCATGAGCAGAGAAAACAGAAGCAGCCAGTTTTACACACAAAAGGAGATCTTGAATTTCTTGAGCTTCAGAGGCAAATTCAATTATTGACAGAGAGAAGTGGGGGCATGCATTATTTCTGCTAGAGGCAAGCCATAATTGTGTGTTTTGGACAAACTTTTTAAATGCTCCATGGAAACACTAACCCTCAACGAGATAAGGACATTTTCAAAAATAGGAAGCTGAGCAAAATGTAGTCTTACTCTTGTGGTTTTCACTGAGGTTAACTCAAAATATGACTGATTAGTCTTAGATTTCATCCTTTAACTACTTACATTAAAAAAAGCAGGAATGTGGAGTGTTCTACTGTTGTACATGTTTCTCTACCAAATGCTTAGAAAACATTCTAGCTAATGCTTCAGTTCATCAAAAAAACAAACAAACAAACACATATTTAGTGCCAACTCAAGGGATTACTGAAGAGGCATAGTTCTCGGTGATTTTAAAATACAGATGATAAAACACAGCCCATGTCCTTAAGACAACGAGTCATTCTGCTGGGGGGAAAAGGTCCGCATGCACCAAAGAAGTCAACTAACATAAAGCACAGAATGGAATGAGTGGGGGGCACAGGCCGTCAGGAAAGGGGGCGATCTCTTAGAGATCAGTGGGCTAGGAACATATCAAGTGTGAATCTTAACCTGGCTTTATATTGTAGAAGTGAATCTGGGGGAAACCGTGACGTAAGCCATTCCAGAGAGAGAAAACAGGAAAAGCCAACACTTGGAAGTATTGAATTTCAAGGTCAATTCAGTGAGTTAGCTGTTATCATGAAGCAAAGGCTTTCTTGGGGGTGTTGAGGCAAATCATGCTAGGGTGAGTTTAAGTTCTGGAGAGCTTTGACTTCTAGGTTGTACATTTTTTTCTTCATGTCAGAGTGAGTTACTGGATTTTCAGCAAAATGGTATTGTACTTAAAAGTAACATTTTAGTAGGATAAATTAGGTGAATTAGTAGGTAGACTCGTGTAGACTGAAAAACAGAAGGGAAAGAAAGAGGCAGGAGACCTCTTAGGAGTTCTGTACTCCCTTAGGCACCTGAGGACGAGCGCTGTCCTCGCAGCTGCCTCAGTACAGTGTGATGGGGGCGTGGACATTACAGAGAAAGGGTACAGTGTGATGGGGTGTGGACGTTACAGAGAAAGGGTACAGTGTGATGGGGCGTGGACGTTACAGAGAAAGGGTACAGTGTGATGGGGTGTGGACGTTACAGAGAAAGGGTACCGTGTGATGGGGCGTGGACAGTACAGAGAAAGGGTACAGTGTGATGGGGTGTGGACATTACAGAGAAAGGGTACCGTGTGATGGGGCGTGGACAGTACAGAGAAAGGGTACAGTGTGATGGGGCGTGGACATCACAGAGAAAGGGTACCGTGTGACGGGGGCGTGGACATTACAGAGAAAGGGTACAGTGTGATGGGGCGTGGACGTTACAGAGAAAGGGTACAGTGTGATGGGGGCGTGGACATTACAGAGAAAGGGTACCGTGTGACGGGGCGTGGACATTACAGAGAAAGGGTACCGTGTGATGGGGCGTGGACAGTACAGAGAAAGGGTACAGTGTGATGGGGTGTGGACATTACAGAGAAAGGGTACCGTGTGATGGGGGGTGGACAGTACAGAGAAAGGGTACAGTGTGATGGGGCGTGGACGTTACAGAGAAAGGGTACAGTGTGACGGGGGCGTGGACATTACAGAGAAAGGGTACAGTGTGATGGGGCGTGGACGATATAGAGAAAGGGTACAGTGTGATGGGGCGTGGACATTACAGAGAAAGGGTACAGTGTGATGGGGTGTGGACATCACAGAGAAAGGGTACCGTGTGACGGGGGCGTGGACATTACAGAGAAAGGGTACAGTGTGATGGGGCGTGGACATTACAGAGAAAGGGTACAGTGTGACGGGGGCGTGGACATTACAGAGAAAGGGTACAGTGTGATGGGGGCGTGGACATTACAGAGAAAGGGTACAGTGTGATGGGGCGTGGACATTACAGAGAAAGGGTACAGTGTGATGGGGACGTGGACATCACAGAGAAAGGGTACCGTGTGACGGGGGCGTGGACATTACAGAGAAAGGGTACAGTGTGATGGGGCGTGGACATTACAGAGAAAGGGTACAGTGTGACGGGGGCGTGGACGTTACAGAGAAAGGGTACAGTGTGATGGGGCGTGGACATTACAGAGAAAGGGTACAGTGTGATGGGGTGTGGACATTACAGAGAAAGGGTACAGTGTGATGGGGCGTGGACATTACAGAGAAAGGGTACAGTGTGACGGGGGCGTGGACATTACAGAGAAAGGGTACCGTGTGACGGGGGCGTGGACAGTACAGAGAAAGGGTACAGTGTGATGGGGGCGTGGACATTATAGAGAAAGGGTACAGTGTGACGGGGGCGTGGACATTACAGAGAAAGGGTA